GGACTCTGAGGAACGCACGTACGGCATTCAGAGCTCGTGTTCTGAGGCACCCTGCTCCCAAACACCTGTCTGGAATCTATAGCACCTAGTAGGACAGATGGGTTAAACAGTAACCGTGTAAAAAAAGCTGTCTTTGGATCATGCATGACGATGTTGATGGGCTGGTTTGTAGATAAGCATCGTGTTTAATGGACTGAAACCATACACACAAAAAAGAATTTATGTGTTCAGAATGGCTTCCCTGCCCCTCGGTGTCCAGATGCTCACACATCATCGACCTGCTGCATTTTCTTTAGAGTTGTGTGTGAGGAAATGATTTTCAGTGGTCCTGGGGAACAAATAGACCGCTAGTGCTGTTCACTCCACACATGTAAAGGGTACAAGGCTTCGTTGTCAATTCAGGTAGTGGGTTGATTGACATTGAACTGCACCTCTACAGTAACAACGATTGATTCAAAATATATCGTGTGCAGTAGTAACTGTGCAATGGGTGAGCGAAATCTTGCAGTAAAAGGCTCCTTTTTTCTTTTGCTGACCAACAGATCATAGTATTATCGGCCACTGATTGTAGCAAATGCTCAGCTTTTCATGGCCAATTAAGATGAACTGATGAAGTAGCTTCCAGCTCTTGGTCCCTCTTTCAGAAAGCTGTGTAGTATCTTGTGTTGCTTACACGCTTCCTCCCTCTTCTCTTCTTTTGTACGTCGATATTGCATTAATAGTACCATATGGGATGTTTGCTCCTCTACTAGTGGCTGAACCAACTTCCTAAATCCAGTGCTCTGCCAGATCCATCCAAGCTTATATTAATGTTCCAGCTTTAAAAGCTTGTCATATGCATTCTTTAAAAAAAATACTTCTTGTTTAAGAAAATATAACATCTTGTTTAAGAATTCTTTTATGAAGATTCGTCCTGTTTGCTTGGGCTTGTTTGGCTGATAAACCATGGCTGAAAGTACTGTTTGCTGATTTGGTGTGAGAGAAAAATATTGTTCGTTGGCTGAAAAAGTACGACTTATAAGCCAAACAAGCCCAAACGAACAGGGTGAAGTTTCCACCATTGATGTTTCCAACTAACTTGCTAGTTTAGTCATTGGAAAGGTTTAAAAGGAAAACCCACAAAGTCAAAGGCTCAAATTCGAATATCAAATTGAAAAAAAAAATCCTGTTTGCTAGAATAATTCCACGTGGTCTCGAATTCTTCTTTCTTACCACTCGTAATGGAGTAGCATCTTTGTTTCAAAAAAAAACATAATGGAGCAGCATCATTTTCTCGTCTCTTTTCTAAAAAAACAGGAGTAGCATCATTTTACTCCGTCATGCCAGAAAAAGCGGACATTTACCGTTTTCCTCTTGGACGAGGCGAAACAGAAGTTGTTCGCTAAACTAGGGCGTGCCAGCACCAAAAGATACCGAAAAAGATACTGTTCCTTCAATGATTACACGGTTTTGCCCCCCTTGCCACTCTCGCTCGGCGTTGCGTGTGGCGCTTTTGTGGACGACGCCGTCGTCGCCAGCCAGCTTTCATGTGGCTGTGCGTTGCCTCTTCCCTCCCTCCCTTCTCCGCGCCTCAAGAAAAATCCGTTCTTTTACTCGGGAAAATTGCAATTACAGGACGTCAAACAATACGCTTCACTGTTATAGGACTCCAAACATCGACTTTGCTAAAACAATCCTTAAAACGTTGGCATTTTGTTATACATGACATTTGATCTTTTTAATCATTTTTCTCAACTAAAATACATGTATTTTGTCATGATGTGACCGTATTGCCCTCAGAGCTTCGATTGACGTGGGATGGGGCTGCTGGCCGCTCGCCTGGCCTGCCTGGCTGGCCGCGGTTTGGGCTGGCTGGACGGCCGCGCCTGGGCATGGATGGCGCGCGCCCTTGGCTAGCTGGCCACCGCCAGGGCATGGCGGGCCGGCGCTTGGGCTGGCTGGCTGGCCGCCGCCTGGCCATGGCTGACCGCCATGTACAGTTTAATATGTAATATAAATTGGTCCTGTTCGCGTGCTTTTAAACCCGACTTGATCCGTTTCTTTTTTCATCCGGAACAGTATTTTCCTCTCACAAATTCCTCCAAACCATCCAAATTCCTCCACAACCATACCAGTCGAACACCCCCATTATCAAAGATGATCCATACACAATTACAAAGTGTAATAGATAAAACCATGAATTTAGCACAATCGAGCTCATCTCATAAAACCATAATTCTAGCATAAAAAGTTTATCTCAGAAGACCATAATTTAGTTCCAAACGAGGTCCAAGTCATATGAAATAAAGTATGAGTTTACATCTCATCACGACTAAAATAATTCATCCAATGTGTAGCTTTCTCTTTGGAGTCATCTTTTTTGTCGCGGTAGGCATCCTCACGGGACTAGTGGTGTCGGTTTGTGAAGATGTGCCCTCTCCTAATAACATCGCAAGCTTGCTGCACATAAATACGATATGACAATTATATGTATGAAAAAAATTAATGTACAGTAAATGTGTTAATATTCCTTACCTTCTGGTGACCCTTCCTAGACTATCACATAGGATTTCTTCTCTAGTTGACCTCCGTGGGGTGCTAGGTTCTGCTGGCGTAGCTTTTGTAACATTCTTTCTAGGTTGTCTACGCTTCCTACAAGTAATCAAATAAATTAATATCAACATTTTTATTTAAGTTTCTTGATAAAGAAAATTAGTTCTTACCTCTTTTTTGCTGTCCCATTTAGTGGGCACTTGGCACTAGCTTGTCTGTGACCTTTTTTCGCATTCTTTATAAGTCATAGGTCCTCTGATCATCTTCTTCCCCTTTTCATTTGTTAACGCAGTATCGTTGTCACATCCTTTCTCACCTTCACCCTCGTTGGTAAATTCACCACCTTTTTTCTTGTGGCCACCTTCCATCCATCCCTTCCTTCTTAGTTTCCTTCGTCTTTCAACAGGTAATTTAGCAAGAGGTGCACCAACTAAAAATGGTAGGTCAACTTGTGTCCATTGTGTTTTGTCTGTCATCGGCTCAATCTCTCTTCCATAAGTAGCCCTGAATCTATTGATCGAGTAGTAGTCATGCACAAACTGTTCAAGGTCAACTCTCCATTAACGGGTTACATAGGCCAATATATGTTGACATGGCTTACCAGTGTGTTGCGGATTCAAGACATGTACAAGTCCTTTGGTGTAACTTGACAATATGCCTCTCAACTCTTTCCACAACCTTGCTAGCTACCCACTTCAGATTTGGAGTTGTAGTTATCTGCCTCGTGCTAGACACACATGTATGGTTATCGACTAAGATGGTTACCTGCAAAACAAAAAAATCAATGAGATTCATATTAATTTACATAAAAAGTAGAATTAATGAAAGAAAAAAATTTATTCACCTCCACAGTGCTTTGGCTTTTATGTTTGGTGCCATTTATCCTCCAAGGGCAAGGGCAATCTTCATCACCGGACTTACAAAAAATTCTAAATCTCGTCTTACATGACTTATTTGTTCCTAAATCAAATTCCTTATTGATGGCAAATTGGCGCACTGCCAACTTGAACTTCTCTATTGTTGGGTACACTGTTCCTAAATCCATTGATGGGTTGTTCTTATCATATGAAATGACCATCTCACCCGATACATCATCACTAGTAGGAATGACAGCACCATCATTATTTTGCCCAAGCTCATTATCATGCCCCTGTTCATCCATTCGGCAATCAAAAGCCCTGTGCAGGTATATTTGTTGTGTCCAAGCCTAAAAGCTCACAAATCTGCGACTCACTCATAAGTGCAATACGACCTTCATCATCATGTGTCTCCACTATTTGTATGTTATTCCAATCAACTCTTTCCATATTTTCCACATGATCTACTTGGACCTAAACAAGTGAAATCAAGTTTTACTACTGTCTACTACTATCGTGGTAAAAAAAACAGAAATCTAGTGCAGCCAATATCTTTGCACTTCAAGAACAGGAAGGTTGTACTCTATTGCCGGAAGAGGAGCAGTGGGTAGCAATGTTCTGGCTAGGGCTAGAGCACTGGCGTCGGTAGGGGCCTCCACTGCCGGCTGTACATGGCCATCGGTTCTTTGCGGCTGTCGCAGGCGTCCGAGCCACCAAAGGCATGACCATGGCACCAGCCATGTGCAAAGCCATGACCCCGAGCGGCTAGGGCAGAGGCCGCTAGGGCTTTGGCTGCTTGGCCGTCCATGGCGATCGGGCGTCCATCATCTTCGGGCGGTACCTCTCCATCCATGGGAGCCGAGGATGGGAAGGGAACGGCGACGTGGGGAGGGAAGGAGGAACGACGGCGTCGTCGCGAGGGAGAGATGAAAAGATACGATGCAGAAGGGTAATACGGTCACATCATGACAAAATACATATATTTTAGTTGAGAAAAATAATTAAAAAGATTAAATGTCATGTATAACAAAGTGTCAATGTTTCTTGGTTATTTTAGTGAAGTCAGATGTTTGGAGTCGTGTAATAACGAAGCGTATCGTTTCGCGATCATTAATTGCAATTTTCTCTCTTTTACTCCGAGTATTTAGCCTCGCCTGTTGCCGGTACATCTCTTCCCGCGGCCGTTGTTTGCGCGGAACCACTCCTCCCCAAATCTCTCCTGTGAGAGTTCATACGAAATTTCTTCTTGTTCGGTTTTAGATCGATTTCTTTACGACGTATTTTGGTTGCATCGCGGACCGGCTCCGGAGCCATCCGGCCCTAAGACCGTACCAGCGAATTTGTTTGGTTTGTGGTGCGGGCGCCGGGCGGTCCTGTGCCGTAGATCCAAAGGCGCGGGAAATCTCTGGTCGCTGGGTTGAGTTGAATCGATTTGGATCCGTTTATCGCTAGTTTGGGCGTCCTTGATCTGAAAGGTGGAAGCTTTGGTTGGGTTTTCTCCTCCAGAGCATTTGTGTTTCTGAGGGGCTAAGATGCTCTATTTGAAGCAGCCGACGATGAGCTGAGTCTTTGTTTTTATCAATTTCTCTCGTCGTCTGTTGATCTGATCCGATGGAGGCTATGACGGGTTGCAAATTCCTTCAAAAGTTTCGGCTCTACGAAACCAGATCGGTACGAATCTCTTGCAAATCTTGTTTCCTCTGTTGGTTCCAGTTTAAGGCTGTTTGAACTTAGAGATCCCTATGACACCAAACATCTTGTGTTTGACTTGTTACGAGGGTTGTGTTTTTAAACTTCTGTTTATGATGAATTCTTGTGTGATTTAATATTACCATCGCGTGATGGGTATCCATTATGATTCGCTCTGTTGAATTAGGTTACTGGAAAGGGAAAAAAGGTTGCAAAAGATCCTTTTGTTTCTTTTTGCAATGGAGGAACGAGAATGAAAACAAAAAAGCCGTTTCCCTTTTTGCTTATTCCTTGCAATTGTTTCAGATGTATTAAACCGTTTGCTAGAATGATGTTTTGGTTTTACTGTTGTGTAGTTTGGCTCCTAATGTGCAATAGCCTTCTGCTTTGACTGTGTTATGCCAATTAAAAAATACAAGGTTTCAGCTTTCGTTTGCATATGCATATGTCTTTTCAAGTCTCCAGGATGTCTAGTTCTGTGATCTAAACATGAAGACCTCAATATTGATACAATAGACAATAGGCATTTTTAGATGTTTTTTCCTTGTATACTGTTCCATTGGTTTCTGCAGATGAGGCTTGATGTTGAAAGCTCGTTTGCATTTTATTTATTGCTCAATTTTATTGTAGTTAATATGTGTACGCCTTTTTGGTGTAGAAATTTTATCTTATTGGAAGAGACGAGACCAGGATTCACTGGAGGGTGCTAAAAATTGATCGGTTGGAGTCCACTGAGCTGGGCGTCGAGGAGGATCCAACTATTTACACGGAGAATGAATGCCAAGAACTGCTTTGTCGGATCCATGAGGGGAACAAGTTGACTGGTGGACTGAAATTTGTCACAAAATGTTACGGAATAGTTGGTAATGCAACATAAATTGACACTTGTCGAACATATCAATCGCAACTCTCTTTTTTTCACTTTGAATTATAACATTTACTTATTTGCTTATTCAGGTTTTGTAAAGTTTCTTGGTCCTTATTACATGGTTATAATAACCAGGAGAAGGAAAATTGGCACAATATGCAGACATGAAATTTATTCCGTTGCCAAGAGCGAAATGATTGCAATTCCAAGTGTTATAGTCTGGCCCAACGTGGCTTATTCTAGGGATGAGAACAGGTCTTTTATTTTTCAACATGTAAATATTGTTGTAATTCCATCAGTGGTTCTTAACATTATCAATAATGCCAGCTTGCTATCTAGTGTACATTTTATAGCTTTTCTATTCATCTACCTCATTGTTGGTTGCTTTCTTTCCACATATTTGATCTCATTTTGGTTGCTATGTTGTGTTGAGGCACTCTTGGTGTTGATGTACCCCCTCCCTCCTTGTCTGTATTGTTTTGCATCTATTTGCATAATGTCATTCCAGTTTTCTTCATTTGTTCATGTTCTAGTAGAACATGGACAATTCCATTTTATGATTTTGTTCGATTGTACAATAATACAGTAATATTTTGTTCGTTGTGTGCATTTAGCTCCATTTCTCCTTTGTGTATAAATTTGTTTGTTCAGAAAGAACGTACATCCAACTCATATAGCCAATATACATAATGGAAATTCTTGCAGTTCTGAGCCATGTGTAAGTTGCTCATATGGTTGGAGGTATATAGAGAAGTTTCAAATTTCCTTGCTCCTGTAGTATTCTACTTATTAATATTCATCGTTCCATATCCATAACAAGTATATTTTTCATTTTTTTTTCATTTTCGTTGTATGAAGAGATTTATGCTCTCATCTCTCAATTTCTGTAGATATAAGCGCCTGCTTTGCTCAGTTGATCTTTCGAAGGATTTCTTCTTCAGCTACTCTTACAACATCATGCGCAGCCTTCAGAAGAACATAACCAAGAAGAATACTGGACAGGTTGTTTATGAAACAATGTGTGTATGGAATGAATTTCTGACACGAGCGATTCGGAATCATCTCAAGAATACCTGTTGGACTGTTGCCTTAGTCCATGGCTTTTTTAAACAGGTATATCCTTCCGCGGTAACTAAATTGAAAATTCTTTTGCTAGTGTGTTAATTGATCCCTCCTTTAAAATTCTGATTATGAGCTTATCCATATCACCAGTACCGTCTATTCATCATTGAAGACCACAAGTAGGGCTGCTGCTAACTCAATGACACCCCACTAACTTATGCGTTTTACTCCACGTCTCATGACTGATATATAGTGAAAGCTTGAAACAAGGTTTGCAAAGGCATGGCTTTGTATAACCTGCTGACATTTTTCAGTTTGAGCTGCTTGAGGCTTTCCTGAGTCGAAACCTTTGCTCGTAAGTCTCAGCAGACTGTTATTATTTTTATTCAGTTCTTCTAATCCATCTTTTATATATGTTGCTGATACAGGGTAACATCATATAAACTTTTTTTTCCTAATGCTTCATTATGAAATTCCATTGCTATATTTTAGCCAATTTGATTTTTCTCACAAGTGTCGGGCACTGTCTCTTGATCCTAGTCCAAGGACAGCAAAAACATCTCAAAAAATGGCAGTCCTGGTTACATATGCAAATAAAGTGCCATATGAAGACATGCTAATACATTTGTTTTGGTGTGACAGTCGAAGCTCTCTGTATCTGGCAAGGATTTTTGGTTGACCCTTATAGCTAGGCGCTCGCGACATTTTGCCGGAACCAGGTTTGTGTTACAATTTTGGAGCCTTTAGCTTTATAGTTTAATTTGGATAAAACACACACACTCAAGCAGCCAATTCTGTCATTCCGTGTTACTTTTATTTCAGGCTTTTAACCTTTTGCTGAAAGTTTTTGCATTCATTTTGAATTATAGATTCTTGAAACGTGGCGTTAATGAAAAGGGCAGGGTAGCCAATGATGTTGAGACTGAACAGATTGTTTTTGAAGACACATCTGATGGAATCCCAACTCAGATAGCTTCTGTTGTACAACATAGAGGATCGATACCTCTTGTCTGGTTTCAGGAAACTTCAAGGCTTAATATTAGACCAGATATTATATGTAAGTTATTCAGTTAGGTTTATTATGAGTTTGTATGTTGACTACCTCATCTGATATTCTAAATGTGTTGCTGTTACAGTAAAACCTGATGTGGACTACAAGGCGACTCGCCTTCATTTTGAGAACCTTGCACTTAGATATGGGAATCCAATAATCATCTTGAACTTAATAAAGGCAAGTGCAGCATCAATGTTGTTCATACTTTGATGTGAATGTCTTCACTTATGCTTATATTGTCACTGACTTATATATCTGAGGGTTTAATCACCAACTTGATAGCATTCTGCTCTTTGTTATAAGTCTGAAATTTTCCTTTGAATCCCTTAATTATATTTCAATCAGACCCGCGAGAAGAAGCCCCGTGAATCTCTGCTCCGTGCAGAATTTGCAAAGGCTATCCATTACATTAACAAGAGCCTACCTGATGACAAGCGTCTAAAATTTTTACACATGGATCTGAGTAAGCTTTCTCGAAGGTAATGCATTGTATTCCAAACGCATCTTATGTAAGATTGCTCCTTCAACGTTAGACAATCATCCTGTATGTACCTTTGTGTGAAGTACTACCTGCTACTTTCAGGAAAGGAACCAATGTGCTTGCACTGTTGAACAAGGTGGCATCAGATGTGTTGGATCTAACTGAATTCCTCCACTGTGAAATAAGTACATCAACAAAACCTGATGACACCTCAAGGTAGCCTATGGTCTACTTAGGAACATTCTAAAGTTTACTACGATACTTTTTCCTTAAAAATGCACAAGTTCAACTTGTAGTATTTATGCCAAATTCATATGTTAGAGATCACAAATTTTTTGTACATTTGTAATTGGTCGTTTTTTCAGTCCTAATACCCTTTATCCTTTTATTACAGTGGAGAAGAAACTGTTGCCAAACCACGTGATGACAGAAGTAGCAGAGATCAAACTGAATGTGCAGCTAAGTTGGCACCTCTTTTATTACAAAAGGGTGTCCTCAGGACAAATTGCATAGACTGCTTGGATCGCACAAATGTTGCACAATTTGCATATGGTTTAGTTGCTTTAGGGCGTCAACTTCATGTATTGGGGCTTACTGTAGCACAGAAAATTGAATTGCATGATCCTCTGGCTGATGATCTGATGGATTTCTATGAACGGATGGGTGATACATTAGCTATTCAGTATGGTGGTTCTGCTGCTCACAATAAGGTATATCTCATGTTATATTAGCTTTTACTCTGGAAACATGTTCTACATTTTTCACTACTGAAAGGCTTAATTCATAAGGCTGTGCTTCTTTCTTTGTAAATATAAGCAACATAAATTTGTGGCATCTGAATACTCTGAGGCCCCGTTTGGATCCTTGGAATTGAATTCATTCTAATAAATTATAATTTAGACACATATTAATTAAGCTAATATCGCTGTATATGGAATATATTTGTATACTATTGTTAGCCATGCAAGGGAGATGCTTATATGTTGCGTTTCTACCATAGAGAAGCGAGTTGTAGAGCGTGCTATAAGTTGAAGAATAGAAACATAGAATGGTGATTTATAGAATCAATTTCCATCTCCCACCCTATGAATTTGAGATAGGCTTATATGTGAACTTTGGAAAGTTGTGGAATCTTAAATTCCAAGCCAAATAGCCTAATCTATTAAATAGATTCCAATTCCACCAAAATGAAAGGATCCAAACGGTCCCTGACAGATATGTAAAATGCTCTGAACTATGTCTACATTTCTTTCTTCTAAAGTGGTTCTCTTGTACCAGGAAAGTCAACTAGTCATAAAAAGACCACTTGATGTTCCAAATCTCTTTGTTGAACTATATCAGTCTGATGTCATGTTACTCATATTTGCCATAGATCTTCTGTGAGCAAAGGGGCCAATGGAAGGCAGCAACCCAATCTCAGGAGTTCCTTCGAACCCTTCAACGCTACTACAATAACGCCTACACTGATCACGAGAAGCAGGATGCTATAAACATGTATGCTTCTGAATATATTGCAAAAGAATATCTGTAGGAATAACTGAACCAGTGGAAGCATTGATATTTGTATGTTCATCACAAGATAGCTTATTACCTGTCCTTAAAAAAATTCAGGTTCTTAGGTCATTTCCAACCTCAGCAAGGGAAACCTGCATTGTGGAAGCTGGACTCAGATCAGCATTACAACATTGGGAGGCAAGGAACTTTAAAAGAAGAGATTGGAAGGTGCAGATTACAAGCTTCCAATATTTCTTGAAATGTCTATATCTTATATTCACCTTTTATTTATACACTTTGCATTTTAGTATGATAGTTTACTACTTAACACAAGCATTTTTCTCTTCTTGTGAAAATCACATTTTTCCACATGAAAAAGTTAGCTAGGATTTTGATGTATCGACCATGGATCGATAGACCTTATTTCAAAGTACAAAATCTAAAGGCCTCGAGAACTTAGAGCAACAAAAAGTACATTTTTTTTACCCTGTTTCAAGAAGAACCACTTCTTGTTCCATGAGAGTTGTCAAAATGATTATGCAACTGATGTAATGCTTGGGAACACTGGATATTGTTTAAAACTGCAAAATATAGGGCAACAAGAACTTAGGACAGCAAAAACTAGATATTTTTGCAGTCTAGACTCAGCCGGTAGTTCTGTCAATTGTGCTACTCTTGTACTGGTTCTTTAGACTGTTCTAATTTATCAATCCTCATCTTGTTTAACCAGATCATTCATAAAGAGGTCACTATCAGATGGTAACATACTGTTGGAGAACAGCTTGCCTATAACTAACTGTAACAACGAATCAAACAACACAGAATTGCTCCCAATGCAACAGCTGGATGATATTAGAGAACCTTCTGATTCTGCGCCAGAGATCTCCATATGCGAACCTAACCCGTGCTCCAGGTGCGTCATTACCTGCATGAATTTGGTGGGCCACTGGAATTTGTTTTCTACATGAATGCAATATGAGCTAATCAGCTAATTGTGTCTTTTTTATATATGTTCAGTATGAACTATGGCACAGTGCCTGGAAGACACTCCATGTCAGAAGAGCGGCAGAGTTATTTGAAAAGATTAGGTTACCCTGAATTGCATTCTTCAAATTTCCTTGACCTTGATTTGTTGTCATCTTCAGGGAATTCGTGTGACGAGGAAGTTTTTGAGAGGTAACATAAATAGACTTCTAGTAATTTGCATATCCTACTACTCTCCTTGCACTGTTAAGATGTATCACATCCGTGATTTGCAGGTCATCACTGATCAATTCACCTATGGATGTGATCAGTGTTGAATCATCTACGTCATACAGTGAACAAGGACACATTGATGAGGTTAGCCTCATTATCTGAACTTCTTTTTCGGAGCTATCTATCTGAGCATGCAATGAGAATTATAATCAACTGATTTTTTGGTTACTCGGCTTTCCTCAGATCTAAACTTTATGCTGTGAACATTGTTCATTTTACCAGGGCAGGGATGACACCGATCTTTCCCGTTCGAGCAGCCAGCTCTCAGACGTTCGGGACTACTCTGACCGCTTTGCGCACTGGGTCGCGAATGGAGGCATGCTTTGCTACTAGGCCCTGGACTTTTGTCTTGGTGACAGCTCAGTAGAATTTGTGACACAGCAGGAAATGGATGTCTAGCGGATAGAGCAGACGAAAATGGCTGACGGCTAGCCGGCTAGGTGCATCTGCCTGCAGAGGCGGCGTAGCGGAAGAGATGGTGGACATGGGAGAAGGCTCGCATCGCATGGTTGTGATCACTTGAAGGCTTGAACGCTGATATTCGTCGGATGGAGATTTTGGTGGTTGGATTGGGTACAGGATTCAATTTGCTATGGTGAAAATTTTGACCATAGTTTAGACAATAAATAGGCAAAATATATCTGATTCTTTTAGTTTAGCTTACCCTGCGTTCCCCTTCATAGAAAATTATCAAAAAGGAAAAAATTTGGAAAATCTATTAGAAAAAGGAGAAAAAAACATAGATAAAGAATACTTTTGTTGTAAATAGTTAGTATGTTATTAAAGAAGTATAAATATTTGGTACTTGTTCCGTTTCCTGGCGGTGTCTGTTCATAATTGTTTCTGTGCGCTCTTCGTCTACGCTTGCTAACGACAGGTCACGTTGGGGCGACATTGTGATTTAGTTTCAAAACTGTTGTGTGGCGATTCAGGACATCATATTTTGTCTTAGAAAAACATTATGAATTTTTCATTATTATATGTGTTTTGTGTGATATTGTATCTCTAGTGCTAATTTATTGTTAAATTTCCTAAGCTACCAAAATAAAGGAGAAAAGTTAAGATATATTTTAACATAGCTTGACGTCCTCTATATATTAAAAAAAATTGATACTAAAACTCAACCTATACACGGGGAAACAAAATAACAAATCTTGTTAAGCGATAAATTAGATCAACTATTTAAAATAGTTGGAGGAAATAAATTGAACCAAATATTAGTTTAGGGGTTATCTTGACATAGATCAAGGGGAGTAATTTAGATTTTCTTCATTAATTAATTAATTTATTATATGTCTCGGGTTGATATAGGCTAAACTTAATTTAGATTTAATTTATTTAATATGTTCTCTCGTGTTGACGTGTTGTTTCTTGAGTTTTCCTGATTCATTGGCAGGCAGGATGCCATTATATGTGGACTCTTGGGTATCGGAGTAGTTTTAGGGACTAGATTGATTATAAACTCAGTGCATTTTTGGTATAGCTCCTAGCCCTAACTTCACTCTTGGCTTCTACGGAGCCATGCTAAACACTTAAAATGTCACTAGATTCCGGTGGTAAGCTGACGAGAATCACTTCTTATTTACACTACGAGCTGGCAGCAAAAAAAAAAAAAAACCCACTCTCCACGCTTTCCGCTACTCCCCGTTCACTTGCTACACAAATCACTTCAGTACTGATCGATTCTCACCTGCTTCCCATAAGAATCAAGAAGTAAAGCTCAAGAATCAAGAAGTGTAGCTATACCAAAGTGGCTCTCAGTTTATGGTTCCGTGACAACATTCATGACAACATTTTCGAAAATACATCGACGTACTCTTGGACTCTGCTACTGTTTTAGCTCTCAAAGCGTGAAGCACAGTTTTCTTTTATTCCTTTAACCTATGACTGGCATCGATTTGTACTCCGTATACCACATAGGTCATAGGTGCCCAGGGTGACTGATCTTGGTGAGCAGCACATGGAGATCAAACCCTTATGCTTGTCATCCAATCCATTCTAAGTAGCACATGAATGTCACCATCCGACTTTAGCACTCTCAGGTCTGCTAGGAACCTTTGCCTTTTATCATAACACATTTGAACCCATACTCAATTCCAAATTATTACCATTTTAACTTTGTACTAAGTCAAAAACTTTACTAAATTTTGACTATTTTTTTAGAAAAATATATTGACATGCATAAGTTCAAATAAACACAACCAAAATATATGTTTGGTCGAGATTTTAATGAAACTAATTGGATCATAGATATTGATGTATTTTTCTATAATTTTAGTCAGAGTTAGAAAAGTTCGTTCAACCATATATATACTCTAACATATGTTAGAGCATGATCCTTCACTAGTTCAAAGCGGTGAACTGAACTCTGAATACATACATTGATATATTGCCTAAGAGAACAAGGAAAAGTTGCAATATATGCTGGTGTTGATTTGAAGATCAACAAAGATGAATATTTATTTATGTAAAAATGTAATATCAAGTTTAAGATGACACGAGTTTTTGTGCTCTACATGTCTAGTATTATATGTTATCAAGTTTTACATCATGCAGACTTGTCCAATTAGCTGTTTGAGGAGTCATAAGCATGTAGAATTAATGAAGTGTGTTTAGAAGTCTCTTTTTTTTGCGACTAGTGTGTTTAGAAGTCATGCGTTGTTCATGTATGCGCATGACTGAATCCCCCCACCCCACCATATTTACTATAACTTCATAGTTTACAAATCATTTCTTATCTCACAGTACGGTGGGGGATGGTTCCTGATTTTTATATTTTTTTCCAAATTTCAGTGCTGATTTTGAATAGTCTGGCGCCTTTTTTATTATAACAATGTGATTAAAGATTTATTATACCAATGTGATTAAAGAATGTAGGGCCAGACAACCATCAAAGGCTCGGACCTCGGAGGGATCATCCAAATGAAACAGGCTACATTGCAAGGGTGGCCCATGGGCCTGGCTGCGCTCCCAGGGTGCAGTGCTCGTGTTTGGTGGCATTGGCCCACTCGTGAGCCGGGCTCCCACGATGCAAATTCCATTCTCTCTCCTGGCTCCCAGGAAACGGAAAAAAGGGCCGTTTCTTTTGGGCCTGGCTGGCTTGAGCCTCCACGCTGAGGATAGCGTTACCTCCTCTCCCTCGCCGCAGCTTTCACCGTATCACGCACCACCAGCGTTCGGCGCCGTGTTCGTCGCCCCCTTTCGTTCCCCGGCTCTTCTTCATCCATGGCGGCACAGGAGGAGGCAGCCGTCTTCCACTCCTCTGGTTTCGTATCCCCTCAGCCCACACCTCCGCAGCGCCGCGTCCACCTCCATCTTGGCCACGTAGCTGAGCGGCACGCCGGCGAACCTGGCGCCCGCCATGCACGCGGCCCACTGGTGGAGCCGCTCGTGCCGCTCCCGCCGCTCGGACCCGTCCCGCGCCAGCACGTCCTTCACCTCCTCCCAGAGCAGGACGGCGGCCGGAGGACAGCGAGAATGTGGGGCTAGCTAGCTTACCGACGAGGCGTACGAGGTGCTTGTGGCGGAGGCGGTTGATGATGCTGAGCTCGGCGAGGAAGTCGTTCTGACCCTGCGTGCTGGCGTGGGAGAACTTCTTGAAGGACACCTCGACGGCGCTCCCGGCGCCGCCGGGGCTGGTGTGGTCGCCGACCACCACGCCGCGTCATGTTCCCAGAGCAGGACGCGATCCACCGCCGCCCGCTCCTCCTCGCGCGCCCGGTGCGCCTCGCCGGCCGCCGCGTCGTCCAGGGCCTCGAACACCGCCGCGTAGTGGTGCAGCGCCTCCTCGAACCGCGCCGCGAGGTCGGCCACGTTGTCGCCGGCGTCCTGCTCCATCACGCACACCACCTTAGGCGACACCGCACGCGCCGCGGAGAGGAAGCCTGCCAACGCGGAGACGACCTGCATATGTTCGATGAAACGCCAATGCCAATGGAGGGGTAACCTTACCATGTTCTAAGTCCGGGGTCACTATACTCTTCGGTACAGGCAAACAAACACGTTCTCAACTGAGCTCGCCTCTGTAGGAACATGTAACCAAACACGGACACTTAGTACCATTTCAACCGAGCTCTGGCTGGCCATAGCTAGGCCAGCCGGCCAGGCCTGCCAAATACAGGACATCAAACACGCCCTGGGTGACTGGACAGGACACAGTATTCACGCCTGGACGAAGCCTTAGGGCATGTTTGTTTCCCTGTATGCGGCTCAACCAGGCTTGCGGGATGCAAGAACCAAATGTTTGGTTAACTGTGCCGATGTTTGGGCCTGACCCGCGTGGTGCAAAAAGCGTCCTTCAGCCAGGCTCTGCAGATACGGGGAAATCGAGCGTTTCCCGGCGGCTAGGCTAGCCTGATACACGAGGTGCATGTGGAGAGGTCACGCGGGCAAAAAAGTCATCACTCAAATGCCCGGACGGACCAACCAAACAGCGTTTGTCTGCAGCCTGTTTGGACTGACGCAAGTAACCAAACGCAGAGACCTTGCATGCGTTCGGCCTGGCCGTAGAGAGCCTGGTTCTCTGCTACGAGCCTGGCTCCGGTGGGCAGTGAACCAAATGCGCCCTAAACAGTGAAAGACAGATCCTCTCTCGCGAAACCGCCACAGACATACCCTTATACAAAAACAATATAATTAAAATATTACCAATGAAATATGGTTAGTACTCCCTTAATCTTAAATTATAAATCATTCTAAAAATCTTGGAGAGTTAAAGCATCTCAAGTTTGACTAAATTTATATGATAACATAATAACATTTATGGTATCAACTAGGTATCTTTAGATTCTTCGTTAATTATATTTTTATAGTATATTTATTTAATGTCATAAATCTTTGTAATTTTTTCTATAATTTTAGTAAAACTTGAGATGCTTTTACTCTCCAAGATTTTTGAAATAACTTATAATTTAGGATAAAGGCAATGACACAGACAAGACGCTTACGCTAATTTGTCGTGACGAAAAAAACGCTTGTTTGTTCACCCAAAAAATACATTTCAAGCGAACAGGGCAGTAACCAACAGCGAGAACCAGAACGATGTAGAAACTGAAACTCATTTTCCTTGCCCACCAGAGCCACTCTATCGGCCGCGGAAAATCATCTTTTCGGACAAGCAGTTTGTGGGACGATATTTAATACAGATGCCTCCAGTCCATTGAGAAAGCTGCAGGACATCTCTCATTCTCAGCTACTAAATCAAACTTGGACAAAAGGTGTAGTAATATCCATATATGATCCATGGAAATCACATTTTCTCAACCAACTGGAAGTATCATATAGAACTACACATCAAACCAATACATGGAATGCGATCAACAGAAAACAAAAGG